CCTTCTCTCAGCAGTGGCGTAAGCAAGGCATTGCAGGGCTGCACCTTGACCTTGTGTGGAGTGGTACGCAGCCCAGGAATGGCAAGAGGCTCACTCAACTCCGAACTGGGATTTGAACCCTTGCCCTTGCAACAACAAGCGGTTCACGAGCCGGAAACCACCATGGCACCAGTTGCTGGAAGTTAGAATGGAGTGCCTGCCGTGGTCCCAGAAGCACTGCTGCGGCCATCTGGAACGCTCTTCCTTCCGATATATTAGGAAGCCACTGAAAACCAATTTCTTTAGAACTGCTTTTTGTGTTTAGTTTGTTGTCTCCCCTCCACCCGCACCTCCGATTGGCACAGTGAGGCTACGTACGGTGTGAAAGAAGCTCAACATACGTACGTACGACGCGGCGTGTAACGACGCACGCCGAGATGGAAGAATGAGGCACGGGGCTGGGGGAACCAAACGCGAGTCCGAAGTAAAAAGTGGCGGGCGTCGTAAGCGACAAGGTGGGCAGGGTGCGGGCAGTTGCCAGGTGCGGGCAACCGTCAGGTGCGGGCAGCTGTCAGGTGTGGGCAACCGCCAGGTGTGGGCAGCTGTCAGGTGTGGGCAGCTGTCAGGTGTGGGCAACCGTCAGGTGTGGGCAGCCGTCACGTGTGGGCAGCTGTCAGGTGTGGGCAGCTGTCAGGTGTGGGCAACCGTCAGGTGTGGGCAACCGTCAGGTGTGGGCTAGCCATCAGGTGTGGGCAGCTGCCAGGTGTGGGCAGCCACCAGGTGTGGGCCACCGCCAGGTGTGGGTAACCGTCAGGTGTGAGCAGCCGTCAGGTTCGGGCATTCCCGCAAATCGTGGGCCGTGTTCCCCTCGTGGATCTCGGTTGTTATTCAATCAGAATCTTTACTTATCCTGGAGAAATCCGATAAGGCTAAGAAGATATTTTTTTCCACAGATGTCCAGTCGGGGCACGGGGCTCAGAAAATTATAATAACAACAAACAATACAAAAAAAGCAAGCGATAGGAGTGCAAAGTATAGAAAAGGTAGGCGAATCACTCAAAACATTTAATACGTAAAAGTTTGTAAGTTCACGATTGCATAAGTACACCAATTCCCCAGCTTGGCAGCAAACAACAGCAAACCAGGCTGTGTCAGGCTGTCAAGCGTACTTCTGTTGAGGTTCAATGTCTTCACGAAAAAATGGTAAGTACCTTTTAAGGTCACGCAATGCATGAGCGTCTCTCTCTCACTGTCTCTGATTGACGCAAATTTTTGCTGTTGATACCCACGCAGAGCACATTCCACACCGTGCCACCACAAAGCTTGCACCAGACTCGAGCAGGCCGAGGGTTCAACTTTTTTTGATGAATTTGAGTGAAGACTTCGAGTGAACACCAAACCCTCATGAATCCGAGTGAGAAAAGAGGAGTGAGTTAACGCGTTGCGGCGGTCACGCGCTTTACGATTGAGACTTGCCTGCGCACCACCTTTCGATTCTCCGCACCGAGTCATTCCGGCCAATATCAATAACATAGCACGGTACTCTACAACATATTGCCTTTTATGACATTCATCAACATGACAAACACCCCACCGCCTCCCAGGGCCATGTCATTAAACCACCGGGGCAAGCGCCGTTCAGTGCCCACGAAGATTGGCGTGGTACACGGTGTCTGCTGGGACCTGTCACGTGGTGCCTTGCATTACCCAGCAACCTCCGTCGTTGTGGTTCGCATGTTAATAATAATGATGATAACGACGATGACATTCATAATGCGCCAGAATTTGCAGAGAAGTCAACAACTCAGAGGGCGCGGAGCCAAGCTCAGGGCTGCTTGAAAGCCATGAGCCAACACAGATAGAGAGGCCTTTAGATGTTTCTTGAGAGTCAGAGTGCATTTGATGTTGCGGATGTGCAAAGCTATTAGAGAGTTCCACAACGATGGGGGCGACAGACGAGAAACCGACGTGAGGCTGTAACAGTGTAGTGTAGTGTATAGTGTAATGTATAGCAGTGTAGTGTGGAAGTGGGCCTTAGGGGGCACGGTTCTGATGACGGTCAGAGAGAGGGCAGTGAGGACGTGACAGTCTGGATGAACCCGAGAGGGCACGTGACCGGGACAAGGTAGCGAGGGGGCCCAAAGGGTGGCTTGAGGGACACATGATGCTCGGTCGAGAACCTTCTGGTGAGATCCAGAATGGGGCGTGGCCGAAGGCGGAGCGAGGCCACGCTCGGGAGCATAAAAGAGAGGTCCCGAGAGCAATCGCGGCTGTCTGCTGGAATGGAACCCTTGGTGCTACGTCTCTTCGGTCTCGTCGGTCTTCGGCCTTCAGTCGTCACGTTCGGCATTGTGGGTCAGGCAGTGTGTCTCTGGCCTGACCCGGTTATGTAGTAACCTGTTGAAACGTTTAAGTAGTAGCCCTGTTGGGGCCATGTAATAAACGTGTAGCGTGGTAAAATACGCGGTGCGCACTGCTGCTCGAGGGCAACCGAGGGCAGGCAGGTGCGCGTGTGCAACGTGTGGTTGCACGTGCAAACCGCCACCTCTTTAACGGGAGATTCGTTTGCAGACGGGATCAGGTCCGGGGTCGTACGCTGGCACCGGAGGTGTTGCCAGGGAGACGTGCGATAAGGGGTGATTGATGGCCTGACAGGCCCCGGTCTGTCGGGCCCTAAAGAGACACAAGGGAGGAGCTGGATAATTGGGAAGAGAATATAAGGGGGTGTGTGAGAGCGGAGCGGGAGTTCGGGTTGCTGGGACCAGGGTGAGGACATCTCGCCGCTGCCGCTCACGCCAGGGACGGACCTCGACCCTCGCGAATCGACGGGCGGGTGACTGGTTGATCCCCCCGCCCGAACCGGACGAGTGAGCGGGTCGGAGGGAACGTAGGGCGAGGGCAGCGGCGCAGAGGGAGAGCAGCTGTGTGCAAGCCCTGTGTGAGCGAAGCTTCTGTGTGAGCGCTGCTGTGTGCACGCTCTGTGTGAGCGCTGCTGTGTGCAAGCTCGGTGTGAAAGCTCTGTGTGAGCGCTCCTGTGTGTGAAGATCTGTGTGAGCGAAGCGTCTGTGTGCGGCAGCTGTGAGTGAGAAGCTGCTGAGAGGAAGAGCTGCCGCAGGCAGGTCAACGAGGTGTAAAGTAGATAGGGGAAGTTGGTTAACAAAATGACCGTATAGACAGAGAGAGGAGTGCCTACAACTGGTGCAAGAGAGAGTAATAAAGTGCAAGCAGGTGACTTGGAACAACGTGTCTGACTGAGTGATTCTACACGACACTACAAACGTGTTGCCTCCCAGTTCAAGCGTATGCCTCCGTAGAACCCACTACACGTGCAACAGGTCATGTAGGAGAGTACCGGGTGCGTGGATAACGGAGGCTACTGGAAGGGATCTCAGTCGAAGTTCCGAAGGCCGTCCATCAACAAGCACTGCTCCGTGAGTTCCAAATGGATTCTTGCGTCTCATGACACGGAAAACATCATTTCTTTATAACTGCTTTTTATGTTTAGTGTTGTCATTTCATTGCACCTCCGATTATCACGGTTGGCTGCGTACGGTGCAAAAGAAGTTCAACACAAGTACGTTGCCAATTTATTTTGGGGAAAAAAACACGGCAAAAAGACAAACCAAATTACACAAAAAGCTTTGGCTGAGGCTGCCCCGATCGAGGTCAGGCATTGTTTACTGAAAGTAGCATGGGGAGGGAATTGCACGGGCACCGTGGCGCTGAGCAGTGACAACCACGGTGGCCACTGGTGCCGGTGAGTGCCCACCCCCCAAAGCGAACATGCGCCACCGTCACTGCGAGACACCGGGACAGCGTGCCGGGGGGGGGGGAAGGGGTACGCCGCGCTCGACGGCGACGATTGCGAGGACGAGAGCGCCAGCGGAGGCCTCTCCGCACGACGCGATTCTCCTTCAAAGCAGCAAGCCGTGTGAGAGCCACTCATGCACGCACAAAGACACACACACACGCATAAACATGCACACACACAAAGACAAAGATCCCCCGTATAGCCTTACCAGACTGTAGGGGCAAGTGCTGTTAGCGAGCACCTATAAAGGCCGGCACGGCACACAAAGGGGTGGGTGGCCAACACCACGCCCGGCCGCCTTTGTCTTCCTCGCGGTGATGTTTACACATCACACCAGGTACTCATTTGAGGCTGAGTCGACCGATGCGAGGCCCGGGACCGGTTCGGATAATCGTCACCGGGTCACCAGGTTCGGAACGCAGCACACTACACTACCGCTCACAGACACACACACATGCACACTCACACGTATACACATGCAAGCACACGTACACGCATCAACATGCACACACACGCCCGCACGGCCACCGCACGCTCTCCCCTGTTCGGCCTGGTGAGTGCCTCGTCCGGGTGAGCGAAACGCGACACGCCGCGGCGAGCGTGGCCGGTGGCCACAGGCACATGAGAACTGAATCAGAATATTATACATTTTCACAGGATGAATCCGATGAGCTATAAAGTTCTTTTCACAGATGTCCAGTCGAGGCGGGTAAGACCGTTAGAACAACAAACAGCACAAACAACACGATAGTCATGTAAAGTACAAGAAACGTAAACCACCCAAAAACATACAAATACAACTAAACCATCCCCACCCTACCAGGCTAAGCCCATTGAGGTATTAACTTATTTCTCAGAAGCGACCCGACACTGGCACTAGTAGAAAAAAAAAAAACATTTAATGAGGTAAGGGAATATAAAAAAAGACATTTGTGTAGATGAAGAGGCAGCCATGAAAGCGTCTGTCTGGAAACTTGCAAACAATGGCTAATGAATATTCTCTTCCCACGCCGCCTCTTTAGGGCTTTTCAAAAGCGCCGTAATGGAAGGTGAGAGCTTCCCTCTCCAGTGGGATTGCATGAGAGTGCTTCAAGTGCAACTCGGCAGATCACTAACTTTCTTCCGAAATCGCACGGTCTGGATTGGCGCTGACCCTCGACGCTCGAGCACGCTCGCTCGCTCGTGGCGGAGAGGAGCCGGGCGGCCTCTCTCACTTGGCACGCGGGGCCCACGTCTCCAGCACGCGGGGCCCACGTCTCCAGCACGCGGGGCCCACGTCTCCAGCACGCGGGGCCCACGTCTCCAGCACGCGGGGCCCACGTCTCCAGCACGCGGGGCCCACGTCTCTAGCACGCGGGGCCCACGTCTCCAGCACGCGGGGCCCACGTCTAATGGACCGCTCTTTTAATTATTTCCTCGTGCAGCAAGGGAGTAAAAAGTGTGGTTTTGTGAAAGTCCTTATTTGCTGTGCAGTACAGCACTGCACGTGTGTACAGCAGCATGTGATAACTGAGTTGGGCCTGTCGGTGGCTGGCAGGGTTAGTGATTAGCCGGACTTGTACACCAGTCACGAGGTTAATGGCGACTCGGTTGAGGATTGCTGTGTGTGAAGCACGTGCTGTTGCATTTTACAGATGGACCACAATAAATGTACTCTTTGGTTCTTTCGGTAAAGTCACGTATAAAGACAAAATAATAAATTAAATACTAGCATACGACGTTTTGATTGCAACACAAGCAATCATCATCAGGTATAAATGAAATAGAAACACAAATCTAGTATACTCAGAAATGGAATGTAATACAACAGAGAGTCGGATAACATAACAGTCAACACCCTACCTGGTTGATTACATTCTTCCTGAGAATGCTAAATTTGAGAGAGAGATAAAGCACAGAACCAGAAACATATAGACAGACATATAAGCAGACAGATATCACAGAGATACATAGAGATAAATAAATGTGTTTGCCCTCGATTTGGAGCACATGCCCACGTCCTTCATTTCGAGTGTGCAACATATTTTGGCGAGCCTGGCAGGAGAGTTTCCCAGAGTTCACTGACGGGGATCAACTCTTCCAACGAGACGGACCAAGCAATTGTACAGGCAGCATATGTAAAGGCAGTCGTGCAAGGATCTGAACGGTCTTCACATCAAAGGCACTGGAACAGCTGCAGAACGAGGCCAGTACTGCTTTGAATCAGCTGCAGAGAGCCCAGCTCATGGATACATGCAGATATTTGAAGTGTTTACATGATGATGAGACTGGTGAAGATAAAAGCAGATGGGCTTTGATTCGTATGGCAGAAAGGGTACTCGATGAACTTGAAGACCAATAAGAAGATGATGAGGCATGTGCATATGATCAAAACCTGCTGTCTTTCATTGAAGCAATACAGCAGAAAGGGAACAGGTCAAACACTGCCACCATCAAAACTATCTGAAGATATGGATGGTGAAAGACAAGAGTCACAAAAAGAATCCAGAAAACCCCTTGAGGAAAAGAAAAGCTCAAGTGAAGGTGGAACAAAAACCACAGCAGCATTGACTCCCATACGAATGGCCAGAAAAAGGAAATGTGCCGGAAGTCACAATACGGAGAGAATTCAGGCTCTGCGGGTAGATTGGTGCAAGAGGGCAGAGAGACAAGTTATCTTACACCAATCTGACGCACCAGATCGACACAGGAACCCGTAAGGGCCATGCCGAGTCTGACATCATTGAGGCAGTAGTCAGAGCAATCAGTCCTGGTCTACATTTGAGGGACATGCGAGAAATAACAACTGATTTGACTGTTTACAGTACTGTGTATGTGAAGAGAATGATGTTGTAAGACTGCAGAAGTGCCAGGCTTGTCACGCAGTACAGTACTGCTCGAATACATGCCAAAAACAACACTGGCAAGAGCACAAGGTAGTCTGCAGACCAATCAACACATTGCAAAAGAAAAGACACCAGAGAGGAGGAACCCAACTATTGGCAAGGTTTAGCTTTCTCAGGCCTAAATAAAACACCAGACTTCATGGGACCTCCTTTGCCAGCACCAAAATATGATAATAGGGTTTTCCCATTTTTTCTGGCAACAAAACAGGTATGAAGACGTTAAAACACCAAACTGAAACCTTTTACAAGGAATCATGTCTGATTTAATCACAATGTTTGTGGTCAGAATGCAAACAAAAAACATACATTGCAGTCCCAAAACCACTGCATAATGAAGTTAAGCAGTATCTGCAAGACTTGATCAATCGAGGCTGGGTGACAAAATCAAGATCATCATATTCTTCACTCATTGTTTGCGTAAGGAAGAAAGACGGAAACCTGAGACTATGTTGTGATTACCGAGAGCTGAACCGGAAGTCGGTTCCTGACAGGTGTAGTGACGTAAGAGGGGAGGGGCTGCTGGGGGCTCTGGGACCCTAGGCAGATAAGCCGTCGGCGCCAGGCACTAGGATCCCAGACAACCCAGACGCTTAAGCCACTTGGCGCCAGGCGCTGGGATCCCAGGCAACCCAGCCAGTTAAGCCCCTTGGCGCCACCAACGGGGGGGGGGGGGGGGGGGCTGTGTGTGCTCTGTGGGATATCTGGGGGCACACACAACCCCACCCCTCGTTGGGGACGAGGCATAAAAGGGCAGCTCCCTGGCCGATCAGGGCCAGTTGAAGCTCAAGACCCGAGACCAGCCATCTCAGGACCCTGGGACGCTGTGAGGGCCAGTGGTGGGACTCTGGAACTCCTGGCTCGACGTCCTTGTGAGGGCGAGTTCCAGAGCGTAGCCAGAGTAGTGTACCTAGGCTGTGTACCTAGGCTGTGTACCTAGGCTGTAACAGAGTATCAGGACTGTTGGAGTGTTGGATTGTAATAAAGAAGTTACCTCTACAAGTGTCTCTGGAACCCATTACACAGGCATCCCATTCCAAGGATCCAAGACATGCTTGACAGTTTGAGTGGGAGTTCTTGGTTTTCGGCTTTAGACCAAGGGAAAGCCTACCGTCAAGGCTTCCTCGATGAAGAAAGTCGCCCCCTCACAGCTTTTATGACACCATGGGGATTATATAAGTGGGTGCGTATTCCCTTTGGTTTGAGTTCAGCACCAGCAGAATTCCAGAGGAGCATGAAAGATTGCCTGTCTGGTCTTCGGGATGAAATCTGTCAGCCTTACCTGGATTCCTATTCTATGGTTCTTTCGGTAAAGTCACACAAGATCCAGGTCCGATTTAACACGGTGCATAAAATTCGTGACCTGGTCCCATCCGTGAAGGACAAGATTCCTGACATGCAATATCCCAGCATCTACAAACTAAGCTGTACTTGCGGCAGCAATTACATTGGGGAAACCAAACGACCTGTCTCAGACCGTGTTTGTGAACATAAGGCAGATTTGAAACACAGCAAGACCAATACTTCTGCCGTGGCTGATCATTACTTTCATGCGGCTGGCTCACATGAAATTGATTTCTCGAAGACGATGGTACTTTGCAAGGCGACTGGCTATCAATAAAGATTCATTCACGAAGCCATTCATATATACAGACAAAGACACAATTTCAACTGAGACGATGGTTTTAAACTCAGCAATCATTGGAAAGATGTCATCAACCACTTTGACTTGATTTGTGTTTTCTTGTCCACCTCCTCCGTCAGCAGTGTGGGTGTGTGGAGCGAGGTGCAATGCTTTGATTGGTGTAGACCTACTGCCGGTGTCGGAGCACTCTCCCACATTAACATAAGCTGCCCCGCCCATCTCTAAACCTTTATAAACAGCTTGCACTCAGAGGCTAACCTCCCTGTTCCTGATGACGACTGCTTGTGTTGCGATCGAAACATCGTGATATTTTATCAATTTTAATTCACTTTATTTTCATTTTCATAATTTTATTGTTATTATTTTTCTATCTACGTGACTTTACCGAAAGAATCATATAATATGAATTCCTGCAGTCACGAAAGTTTTAAGTCAAAACCTTACCTGGATGACAACCCTGTTCACAGCAAGTCCTTTGAAGATCATGTGCGGCATGTACAGATGGTCTTGCGTCTGTATCAACAGCACGGTGTCAGACTGACATCCAAGCAATGTGAGTTGTTCCAGAGCAAGGTGCGATATTTGGGCAAAATTGTATCCAAAGATGGCTACACTATGGACCCAGCAGAGATTGCCCCAGTTCAAGCACTTAAAGCAAGGAAGCCTGCAACAGTGGGAGATCTCAGGAAGATGCTGGGATTCATATCTTACTACAAGCCATATATACAGAACTTTTCAAAACCTAGGCAATTACAAAACAGTACAGGGAACAAAATCAGGCCAACTGCTTAACAAAACACCAATAACATGGACAGATTCTCACCAAAGGGTTCTGATACAGTTGGTTGATCACCTATCCAGTCCACCGATATTGGCATACCAACACTTTCATCAATCATTCGTCTTACATTGCGATGCCTCACAAGAAGGCCTGGGAGCTATCCTTTACCAGAGGCCAGATGGAATAATGACAGTCATAGCCTATGGGTCCAGAACTCTCACTCCACCAGAGAAAAATTACCACCTTCACTCAGGTATGAGGTGAAACCTGAGAGTGGTGAAGGGAGTACCAAGGTGATTCATCGGAATTTGCTGCTACCTTGTGACTTCCTCCCAATTGAGCAGCCACCACAAAGCAACAGAGTAAGAAAGCAACAAAGAAAACTCACCAAACAAGGACAAGAGGCCCATGGAAAGACACGCAGGAATCAAGAGACAGCGGGTTGGAAACGGAGGACGGATTTGACAGAGGTTACTTCAGTTGACCAAAAACTGTTCAGCAAGCTACAGTAAGACAAGATACGGAGTCACCATTGAACCCAGAAGCTGAAGAATTCCACCCACACAAGACAGAAGGTGAACAACAATTATCAGCAGCAGCCGAGGCACATTTATCATCAACTGGTACAGAGAGCAGAGAGACAGATTCAGAGAGTGAATATCAGTTAACTAAAGCAACTGAGGGATAGATCTTGCCGAGGGGATCAGAATACAGTGAGACCAATTTGGCTATAAATAATGAAGGAGAGCAGTTGAGTCCAGCATGTGAGCCTGCAAGGGACTTGGAACAGAGTGATGAAGAGGATCAGAGTTGTCACGACAACCGGAGACTCCACCCTCGAAGAGAGAGGAGACAGCCAAAGACACTCACCTATGACAAGTTGGGCGAACCTACCATCGTGAGGAGCCCGATAGCCCAAGGGATAGCTGTTGGTTGCTACTGGAGACCATGGTGAAACAAGAGACTTTGGACTACAAGATGGGTGATCAAGACAACTATAAGCTGTGGTCATATGGTTGTTAAGTTGTTTAAGATGTT